AATTTTAAAATTTTCCGAGTGGAAATTAAACCAATCAAACACACTTAATTAACAACTCCCTGAAAAATAAGTTCTAGGCAATTATTTTCTTTGAAATTCATTTTCTTTCCACCCATTTTCCACCCTTGCAATCAAACGGACCCTAAATAAGAAATCAATTTTCCTTCCAAGAATGCTACAGTATCACAACATCATAAAATAATGTAAACGTGACAAGGAAAATGTAATTCCATCACACATTAGAAACCAAGAGACTCTACGAAGAGAATAGTCTAATGAGTATCATCTAGTTAACAATTGCATGCATATGCGTGGAAGTCATTTTAGATTAAAAACTTGGTCGCTGAAACAGAGCTTAGATTGATCATAACAGCCAATGAAATTTCACATGACAAGTATAATATCTTGAATGGGTCTAAATTTACTTTGTTTCTCATCACGCAAATTGTTTCTGCATGATTTTGTAGTCAATTTTTAATAAATAAAATGGTAAACTGATGCTGAAGAAAATACTACATACTGCATTACTATCTAGCATAGATCACCTGAAATATAGACAAAACAGTGACAGGATCAGTAGCTGATATGAGAGCACCAAACATCAGACATTCAACAAATGGAAGTTTGTACATGAGAAACATCACGCCACCAAGGTAACTGCAAGTAGAGACATTAAATCATAACAGAAACACGCCATCAAGGACATACATAATTCGCAAAAATCTAAGACAATGTAAAACTTATAAACGACTTGAAAAGCGTGATCAGAAATGATACTCACACCAAAATACCAGTGACAACAGAAGCAATAAGAGTTCCCAGAATTGCAAAAGTGATAATGGCGCCAAAGTTTGAAAAGAATGGTTTCTGCAAATTGCACCCATAATGATCATGTTAGACCGGGAAATGATCTAGAGCAATGGAAATGATAGTATTGAAGCTCATATTGTGTTCCTGTTTCGATCTTAAAAAATGAACAGGTTTTTGAGAACAGTGAGCTTCGTCTTAAGGGTTGCGGCAAAGGGAAAGGAGATTTAATAAAGTTCAATCTGGCTATTGACAAACCACTTAGTTTTGTTTTCCTCTCTATTAGCTTGATAGCACACATAGAGTAGTTAACTTTTAGTTCATCATATGCTTACTCTAGCTCTAACAATATCTCAGTATCATGGAGCAACCCACTACAGCACTACTCTAACTTTACTGCACAGTCTTGCTCTGTAACTTGTCTAATTTTTCCGTTGGTATCATGTCCCATTGCAAAGTAAATTATTTTGTTATTTGTTTCCTCAAATTCGATTATAAAATTGCTAATTCCAAAAATGGAGCCTGAATTAAAGTCTAAAGATAAGAGGCAACTTACAGGTTGTAGACTGAATCCTGACTGATTAAGCACAAAAATCGTCAAGGAACAAGCTTCTTCTTGTCAATCAGTAAGCAATAGAACGGAAAAAGAAAGAACTAAAATCTAGCTAAGAAATAAAAATAAAAAATAAAAAAAATAGAAGAAAGATTATTGACGCAAGGATATAATATGATCGGTGGCAACAAAAACAACAAGAAAAATTCCTCGTGGAAGTTAAACCATGCCCTGCCCAACCAAAAATGAATTAAAGAGGGTCACATTACACGTCGAACTCAAAATAGTGTTAATCAGAAAAAAATGGAAAGAAAAGGGAATCAACAAACACGATAAAATACCTAATACTAGTTTCTGTTTTGGAGATATTAGCCAGCCCACCAACAATCAAACCTGCATCCACTTATACGAATCATATTACAGTAAAATGCAATAGCGCAATAAAATTAAAACTGAAAATGAGTGATATTGAACTGGTGTAAATGAAATAAATTTACCGATCAAAAGAGAAGCACTTGCTTCGGGGAGGTAATAGAACCGGTGACGGCGAAGGACGTGTCCGAGGATAAAGGAGAGAACCAGCATCATGATCTGGAGAAGAATACCAACTCCGGCAGCCTGTTGTTCCTGCCCCGGACTCCCTCGCGGCTCGGCCGGAGATATCCGCAATTCTTCCATCCCCGGGCCTGAAAACTCAACAATCTTCTGTATTTTTAGCTTAATCAATTTGATAACTGTTAATTCAAGAAACAAAATGCACAATTTTGAAGTTTTGGAGATTTTAGTTTAGAATTTGATTATTCTCCGCTTTCAAGCCTCGTGTCCTTTTGGCTTCTCTTTCTATATTTACTTTTCTACGTTTTGCATTCGTTAGTCAAAATGAAAATTTACATTCATTTTTTTATTTTTTAATCATAAAGGCCGCGTTTTAACTTAAAAATTCACAAGGACTATTTTGTCCTTATGTATAAATAATTTAAAATTCATTTTTTTCAAAATTTATTTTTTAGAACTCATTATTCACACCTTCTCTCCTCTCGTGAAATAATTTTAAACGTAAATTCAATATATTTTTTTTATTTTTTATCATACAATCTTTAAAAAAATCATTATTCCAAAATGCATTTTTCCCCAAAAATGAACTCAAATAATTTTTTGGTTTAATCTTGGTTTGAGCATGGGGTTAATAACTTAAGAGGAAATTACACCTAGACCTGATTTTAACATTCCATTTTCATAAAT